ACTAACGAAAGTCGAGAAGCAAACGCTGGCTGTGACGGAAAGAGAAGCAGAATGAAGGATGCTTGGTTTATGTTTTCACGACCATATAAGCAATCAGACTTTTCGACAAACGAGCAACGCGCAGGATATCACTGCGACCAGGCGATAAAGTAAAATCCGATGGACAGGATATGTTGCCCGTCCTGTCGACATCCGATGGACAATGCACGTTAGTGAATGGTGCCCATGGAAAAATAATCTACCACTCGCGCTGCCTTCAAAGAGCTGGAACACAAGCGTAGGACAGAATACTAATTGGAGGCTTGCAGATCAAAATCGAAACCGGCATAGCAGCGCTCGACATGTGAGAGCATTCTAGTAATGTCGCTAACAGCAGAGACCCACTTTGGCAGCCCGCGCGTTCTTGGTATTTTTATGCGTGTTGTGTTGCAACAGTTACACAAAACGAATATGGAATTGCTGATCGACCGCTGTATTGACTGTAGACGGGGGGGAGGAGGGGGAAACTGTAAAGGAGACACAGAGCCGGGGCAAGTTGTGTTGGAGGGCGACTAGACGGACGGTAAACAATAAAAACAATGATAATCCCCAGTAGAAAAAACGGCTTTTGTAGTTTGCATGGTCGAGCGAGCGCGCTGATCAACCACACTTGAACAGTCAGATCCACCAAGGGTCATACACAATCGATTACGAAAGCGCTTGACCAGCTTTCGAGACAGATCCTATCTGTATGTGCCGAATGCATTTTATCCAGAGTTTCAACTCGAGGACCAGAGAATCTAGGGGCCAGAAATTTTAGTAGAATGTTTCCCGCAATCATTGGCGACCACGCGTTTTTGCAGTATTTTGTTCTGCAGTGAGGTCGCTTGGAGTTCCAGTATCTGGAATTTGTAGCATACCGATCCTCGAAGTCCAGAAAGTTAATTGTGCAACTAATTGGTACCAGGTCTGGAAAAATTCCCTCAGAATTTCAGCCCTCTAGCTTTTTTTGGTTCCCGAGTTAGCGATTTTTTCACAAAAACTTTCACGTGCTCGTACGCATGGCCCAGACGCGCATGAGACTGGCACCACGGTTCCGAAGTGGCTGGACTTGGCCTCTGGCAAAATTTCAACGTCGAAGCTTGCTTGGTTACCGAATTCAAATACCCGGATAGACACACACACACACACACACACACACACACACACACACACACACACACACAC